TGCAGACGGTGTATCTAAATATACTGGAATTATTCAATGTTCTAAAACAATACTTCGAGAAGAAGGCATCTCGGCCTTTTATGGCGGTATGACAGCACATATGATGCGTGTTGTGCCTAATGCAGCAATAATGTTCTTTTGTTATGAGTCAATTTTGCATTACGGTCAAGTTAATAATAATAATAATTCATAGGATTAGAAAGTTTTAATATAAACATTTTGTTTTAAACTTTGCATATTTATTAGTCTCAATGATTGATTGAGTGTATACAGGATATAAATAATTTCTTAATATCTTCTTCAGTGTTTTAATTCTTCGATTATATTCCTCGCCCCTTGCTCAATTAGAAGTTTTGAAACTTCTTTGCCTAACTCATTAGCCGCATCAATTTCATCATAATCGACATATTTAGTTGCTTCAGCACGAATAATTTTTGAGCCATCTAGTTGAGCAACTAAACCTTCAAGTCTCAGCATACGTTTACCTTCTTTTCCCTCTATAAAATTTGTGTTAACACCAATTGGAACACTACATCCACCCTCTAAAGCTTTCAATAGCGACCGTTCAGCCGTGCATCGCAATTTCGTGTCTTTATCTTCCAACACTGAAAGCAACTCAATGATATGTATATCATCGTCTCTACATTCAACAGCCAATGCACCTTGTCCAACAGCGTGTAATATAATGTTTGGTGGGAGAATTTGAGATATTCTGTGCTTCAGACCTAATCGTATAAGACCCGCGGCAGCTAATATTAAGGCAGAGTACTGCCCATCTGGACTATCTAATTTTGCAAGCCGCGTATTCCTGAATAAATATAATATTATTACACTTACATATTCTCTTCATAGACTATAAATACCAGAGAATAAAAGAGTACATACAGATTACCTCTCTTGAAAAAGTAAATGAATTAGTTTATTGTACTTTTAAAATAAAAATAATTAATGGATCAATCATCTCATACATACAATACTTTGGAAAATCAAATCAGGAAACGTCCTTTTCAATTGAGAAGACCTTCTAACACTACTAGTTCCAACAATGCTACCTTTTGGTAAGTCTTCTAAAGACTTGGCAATTAGGCCTTCTTTAATAACCACGGCATCGTTCGGATCCTCTCTTTTTAATATCGCACCAATTGTCATTCCTTTAGGTAAAGTAGTGGGCAAGTCTTTCAGACTATGAACTACTAAATCAACGGTTTTATTTTCTAAGGCTATTTCAAGTTCCTTTGTGAATAATGATTTTTCACCAATTTGATATAAAGGTTTATTTTGAATTTGGTCACCAATAGTTGATATGCCCAAAATTGGAAATTCGAAATTAGGGTAAGCACGCTGTAATGCTTCTTGAACTTCATTAGTTTGTGCCAAGGCAAGTTGTGACTTGCGAGATCCAATTGTGAAAGTTTGTTGGATTGACATTAATGTTAAGAAAGTTGATACTTGTCGACAGTAATATAAAGAAATACGTTACACGAATCATTAAAAAATCTTTTATGAAACGGGAATAAAGCATTGAGCAAACTTGTGGCTTTCATATCGTACCAGGTAAACCTTCGTAATATAATTGCTGAGAGATTAAAGAGGAGGATATTCACTAAACGCTAATACTTATGTATTCCATTTCATTTCAAGCATGATGGATAATCTTTGTAACACAAACTTTTTTTTAGAACCGGTTTGATTTAGTTTTTTAGATTTTAAGCTTTTAGTTCGAACCAGGTTCAGGAGCCAGGTTCAGAACCAGGTTTTGGAACCAGGTTTTGGAACTTTTTAAAAACCAAGTTCTTAGGTTTTTGGCCCTCCCAAAACCGATCCTGTCAAAACCGTTATTTATTTCTCAAAAACCTAAATAAAAAACTTTTAATACTCTAACTAAAAGTTTTTCTTGAGCGAGTTTGCTATATATTCAGCTAGCATCTAACCCTAATATAAATGCAAACCCTAATAGCTATAAACTTTTTAGTAAAGTTTCGTTATTGCAAATCAATATACCTACGTATTCTAAAAGTTAAAGTTTCATTTTATTAATAGGTTTTTGCTTATTATGATTGTGCGAACTAATTTTTAAAAATTTTCTCATAAAATAATATGTAAAAAACTTATTAATAAAAAGGATTATCCAATTTAAAATTAATATAACAACTATTGACTATCTCAAAATATAACAAATGTAGTCTAAGTATCAAGCACTATAACTAAAAAAATTTTTTGTTAAATAATAATTATTGATATATATCAGTCACCCGATTTGTCACAAATTTTACATATAAAGGTTTTTATTTTTTTATTTTTTTTTATTTTTTGGTGTTAAGGTGACCTCTTGGTCAAGTGTGCTTTATTGATTTCGAATGTGTTATACATATTTGGAGGGTACATCTAGTCAT